CTGGATGTTTCCCAAAATATGAAAGCCAGTTCCACACGTAGGGATTGTTAAAACTGAACAGGGGCTATTAAAACAAAACAAAACAAAACAAAAAACCCTATCTTAGTAGAACCAGGGTATCCTCCTCTCAGGAGGAGCTGACACAAGGAGAGGGGCCAGGTCTTCCCTGCCTGGCCACTGTGTACAGGACTTTGCATTTATCTTTAATCCTCACCTCCCAGTCAACCCCGGTTCTTCTAGTGCAGTGAAGAACCGCCTGAGCTGTTCTAAAGAGACGCCAATTACAACCACCGTGGGTGTGCGCGGCACCTGACCCCGGTCATGAACCAGGGTTGCGGACCTGATTGTGAACTGCTGCTGCTGGACGAGAACCACAAACCAGGCCGGGGGCGAGAGGAAAATCAGATTTGGCAGAAGCGGGGTAGTTCTTGCCTCCTAGACATTAATCCCGAGAGGGCAGAGAAAAGCTGCCCAGGACAAAGGCGTTTACGCGGGCCTGATTTATAACCGACCTGGGGAAGGGAGGCCAGCCAAGCCCCACCACGCGGCCGGCTCGTAAATCCAGGCACCGTGCCGCAGCCGCCGCAGCAGAGCGTGGCAGCTGCCTCCCTCCCGACCCGCCGCGCAGGATCCGGTAGCTCCCGGGGTGGGGTGGAGTGAACCAGGAACCTACCATCCAAGTTGACTGTGGAACTTTCGGTGACTTCGTTCATCTTCGTATTTGGCCCTCCAGCATCTCCTGGCAAGAGAAGATGAGTTGGTGAAGATGTTTTGAAAAGCCTCCTGGGGCATCATGGGTGATTCTTCCAAACCAGGAATGTGGACCGCAGCCCATAACAAGGAAACACATGTAGGCAGGGGAATTTCGGACCAGCCAGCACAGGCTTCCGCATCGCTGAGCTCTGGGGAGACCCTTCTAGGACCTCAGCCCTCCGGGGACATTCTTTCCTCTCCCCTACAGTTTTTAAATAAGGGGTCTGAACTTCCTGAGAGTATGGTGGGGGCGGGGAGGCCATTGATCTGGCCCTGGGCAAATGGTGTGCTGAGTTTCTGCAGGCAGGGCTTGAGACTGAGTGGTGAGTCTGCCTTTGCCTTCGTGCTGGATGGCCTTGGGTAAGTTGAACACTCCCGGCCGCAGCTGTCTGCCAGCTCAGTGTGGAGGGGGCTGTGGACTCACACAGACTTGAGGTCCAGACCGTGTCTGCACCCGCTTCACCTGCAGGAATGGGTTCAGAGCTGGGCAGAGCGGCCTTCTCTCCTCCCACCTCAGTCCACACTGGAGGCCGCCTGAGTACCATCTCGCCACTCAGGGCCTTGACATCAGGACAGTGACACCCATGAGGGTCTCACTGTGGCCTGCAGCCCTGCCCTGTGAAATGAGTGGCGTGGCTGTGGACGCAAAGGTTCACCAGGCAGCTGCTGTGCAGGGATGAGGGGGACTTGCGAGTGGGTTTCTGTCCCCTGTGCTGGTGGCTGTCACCACAACCTTCAACAGACCTGTCTAATAAAGAGGGGCCTCTTCGGGCCTGCTGGATGCCCAAGCGAGGGCCGTGTCCACGCAAGCAGACAGGGAAGAATGGTTGAGTGGACCCATTCAGTGCGGTGGGATGTAGTTGTCGTTATGGGGTGATTTTGCACTTCTTAACCCCAAGTTTCCGGAGGGAACCTCAGGGAGGCGAGCGGTGCAGCCCTCTCTGGCCTCCGAGAGCACTATCAAGCCGGCCGTAAGCTGCATGTGGCATACACCCGGATGAACATCTGCTCTGACCTCTCCAGGGGAGCAGGGTGTTTGCAGGGAGTTCACACATGAGGCCTGAAGGCGGGTGTTCCTGGCAGATCAGCAAGAACACGTGGGCACCAACGAGGGCAGCAGGCACACTCGGGCAGGGCCAAGCCTGGCCGCCAGGGGGCACCCCACACCTTCTCCACCCCGCCCCCTTCAGGCTGGGCGCCTCTTGCCCTGCTGAGGGTCCAGAGCCCCCTTCCCATGAGACAAGGAGCCCACTGCCTCATTGTGGGCTCACTGCCACCAAAAGGAGTTGCCGCACGTCCGAGGTATCTGTGGCTGACTCCTAGTTGTCTTAGAATTCACTTCCCAGCTCCCCACGAAATCCCGGGCTGTCCTCTGGGGTCCCCAACTCCTCTGCTGGATTTAGGAGCCTGGGGACAAGGGACAGCAAAGATCTTCAACTACAAAGGCAAGTGCCACACTCTAGGGAAGGCAGAGCAAAAAGCCTGCAGCCTCCCCAGCAGCCCCGACTGCTAAAGGGCCCTGCTGTGAAGTCGGGAGACAGCGCTCTGCCTTGCTTTTCCCAGTCCCTGTGCAAAAACAATCCCGGAAACAGCTACACGTGGCACCATGGAGGTTCACAGCACACAGAGAGCTACCAGGCCAGGGTGGGCGGACGACCTGTTGCCCCGCTCCTTTCAACGGCTTAGCCTGTGTATAAATGCCATTTCCCAACCTTGCAGCCCAGGCCCAGAGACGTAAACACCTCCCCCTCCATAGCCAATTTTCTCTTTGGTTTTGTTTCGGAAGTTCCTGCTGGGACCTGTGAGCTGGGAGCACTCAGGAGGAGGGGGAGGACCTCAGGGACACACCTGTTTTGGAGAAGACCAACGGAGGTCAGCAAGTGTCTGTGGCCACATTTCCAGGCAGCGGCCCTGTTCCAAGCCCTTGGCAGATCAGCTTATCCAGTCATTTGTAGGCCCCCTCACTCCCAGGGTTTTGAGAGAAATCTCTTCCCAGCCCTTGCTCATATTTGGATTCCTACCTTCCTTCTGGTGTGTGTGGGGGGGGAGAAGATGTCCGCTCTGAACCGGCCCAGGTGGAACTTTCAGGACTGAGGTGGTGCCCCTGCTAAGGTGACTGGCGCTCAAGCAGATAAGGTTTCTGGGCACTTCACTTCCGAGCAGGGCTCGGCCAGGCCTCCTGGGGTCTTCAGAGCGGAGCGGACCATTTCCTGGAGGGACTAGATGGGACCCCCCGGTCAGCTGCTGCACCCGCAGTCTTAGAGGGACAAAGTCTGTCGCCCCCAGGCGGGAAGCACCTGCTCTTCAACAGCCAAACTGATTGGCCTGGGTGTCACACGTCCTTGTTTTGGCACGTGACCATAGGCAAGCCCGATTACCACCCCCTCCCTTCCCTGCTAGCACACACGCGTGAGCACACGCACGTGCGCGTGCGCGCACGCGCGCGCGCGCGCACACACACACACAGACATATAGGTGACAGTCGGGGAGCCTATTAGTCTTCCACCCAGGCACTATTGTGGAAGCTGCTGTGGCCACACGGTCCTGTTCAGTGACTCCTGGGTCAACCAGGCTCTTCCTCCTCCTCGCTGGGCTTCAGGGAGCCACAGAGCCCACATTCATTTTCCCTAGGCTATGCCAGCAGCCTAAGGACACCTAGAAAGCCCATGTCACCCAGGGTAGAGCTTCCAGAGGGGGCATGAATTACGCGGCACACAGCCACTACCCTCTAAAGGCCTGCACTAGGGATGTAACTGCAATTCAGAAGCCTGGATCCCAGCTTTGCCGGGCATTGGCTGAGCTGCCCTATGCAAGTCACTACCCATGTCTGGGGTTCTGCTTCAGGAAATGGAGCCTGGGTTTGGGATTCTGGGTTCACCTTGTGAAACACGGCTCACTGAACTGTTCCCACCCCAACACTGCTGGTGAGGGATGCAGGGTAGATGCTGACAGAGGGAACTATGATTCCCCTACAGCCATTCTGCAAAGCCGGAGAACCACACTCCTTCCCCTGGGTGGCTCTGAAAGAGCCCTAGGCATCTCTGGGTTAAAGTCACCAGGAGTGGGGACCATAGAGCCATCAGCTGTGCCCTCTAGAGATGGGGCAGGCTTTTCTAAAGTGATGAGAGAGATTCCATGACCTGAGTATGGTAGGGCTGTGCCTGTCCATCAGTCCGTCTTTCTCTGTAACTGTGTGTGGGGGGGTGTGCACTGCACCCCGCCCCCCCACGGTCTCAGGGTGATGGTGTCGCGTTTCCAGCTTCCACCTCATCCATCCAGGCTTCTCCCGGTCCAGAAGGAAAGGCGTCCAGGTCACACAGAGGTCAGGGCAGAACTGCGTGGGATCCAGACTGCCTGGGAAGCATCACTGTCCCAACACAGGCCACCGGCCAGCCACACATCTGCAGAGACAGGATGGAACCGTCAGGCTGGGAGGTCCCTCTGCAGGAGGCCGGTGGGAAGGAATGTTTGCCTCCCCTCCCGGGTTCCTTATCTCCCCACTTGTTACTTTCCAGAGCTCCGAAGAGAATCAGAGGGGTTTACACCTGGGAAAGGGACCCGTCCCCACACCCTTCACAGCTCAGACCCCGCCTGAAGCCCGCGGTCGCAGGGCAGGGCGGGCTGTTTGTTGGCATGCGCGCTGGGCCAGGTGTTCAACATGTGCTCTCCTTTCAACTCTGAAAACACTCCGTGGCGTTGTTTTTTGTTCTTATAAAGATGGGGAAACTGAGCCGGGGAGAGCTTAGGTGTTCTTTCTTCTCTCTCTCTCTCTCTCTCTCTCTCTCTCCCTCTCCCTCTCCCTCTCCCTCCCTCCCTCCTCCTCCTCCCCTTGAGCAGGGCCCCAGCGTGGAGAACAGGAGGAGTGGGGGAAGACACAGGCCTCACACATGTTCCTCCAGCATGGAGGGCCAGCTGGGACACACATTCCCCTGAGTACAAGGCTTCAGGAAGAAGCAGGGCACAAATAGCCTCGCCCCTCGGACTTCAAGGCCGGCAAGGACCCAGGAAAAGACATCCAGTCCCCAGAGCAATCCAGGGGCTCACCTGTGTGCAGAGAGCGCCAATCAGGGAAGGCCTGGCCAGGGGCTGGAGCAAGGGCCCAGAGCCCCGCAGGAGCGTGAGGTGGAGAGGGGAATCGGTGTTTCTGACAGAAGAGCCAGGAACTGGCTGAGGCCTGGGGCCAGAGCTCAGAGGGGCTGGGGACCTAGGGAGTTTCGGCCACACCAGCCAGGTGAGAGGGTCGGGGCATGCTCAAACAAGAGGGCTCGAAACCGTTTGGACAGCACCAGGAAGCTGGCGTTCAGCTAAGTCGGATTCGTAGGATGCTCCGTGCAAACCGCCCCTAGCAGGGGCAGGCGGTGCCAGACCACTGGGACTCTAAGAGATGGAGTGGCCTAGGGAGGACAGTGGCTACGGGGGAGGGGTGGAAACCAAGATGATTCTAGATGAAGACCGAGAAAAAAAAGGGGGGGGGGCAGAGCTAAACTAGGACTGCAGGGCAGGGGAGAGCTGGGAGCCCGACAGGAGTGTGCTCGGGTTAGCAAGTCCCTCGCTGGTGGAGGTTCGGGTTCAGAGACCACAGAACGCACAGGCCGCTGCGAGTGAAGCTGGGTTTGTGGCCCAGGTCGGGGAACACCCGGGAAGACAGAAGGATCGGGGAGGCCCAGCGAGTGAGTACGGAGCTGGGGTCAGCAGAGAGATGCCTCCGGGGCTAGCGCCCGCACGAGAACACAGGGAGCGGGAGGTTTCCAGATCACCTTGGGAGGCTCCGCGGCCGGGGGATGCGGGTCTTCGGGGGCAGAGGGGCGCGGGCCGCGCGCAGCCGGCTCTCATTAGCGCGGGCCACGGACTAATCAATCCCAGGCGGGGGCTCCCGAACCGAGTCGGCATCATGGAAACTGGCCGCGCGCCCGTCGGCGGGGCCGGGCCAGGCGGGCGCCTTTCCGTCGAGGGCGCGGGCGGAGGCGGGTCGCGGGGTCCGGGGCGGGGCTCAGCCACCCCGTGGCCTTTCTGGAGCCGGCCAGGGGGTCGTGGGGGTCGGGGCCGGGCCTGCGGGGCCCTGGGCGGGGGTCGATCCGGGCTAGGCCCGGGCTAGGCCGCTTCTCATCGGGACCCCGGGGTCGTCTCCGGCCGAGAGCCGGTGGACGCTCCGATCCCCGCTGCCCCGCGGCCTCTCGGTGCCCGGGCCACGACGAGCGGCCTCCTGGAGCGGCTCCAGCGTGCGGCCCCGACCCCTGGGCGGTGCTGCTCCGGCCCGTACGCGGCCCACGGAGGCCTCGGGCGGAGGAGGCTGGAAAAGAGGCCAGGCGGCGGGAAAGGGGGATGATTCATCCCCGGGAGCCCGAATCGGAAACACCGCAATCTGGGAACAGCCTTGCCTGGGCCGACGAAGGATCCGGGAGGACAGTCTGTCCCGCGAGGAGCTGCGTCCTGCACTGGCAGTCCCCTGCCTCCAGCCCCGGTCCTAGCCCGGCCGTGGGGGAAGGGGGAGGCCTCTTCTGGAGGAGTGGAAAAGAATCCTGGACAAAGTCCGCCGCTGCCTCCTCTGCTCTGACTGGCTGGTCTCGGCCAGAGCGGGTCTTCCCAGAGTCTAGCTCAAGTCTCTCCTGCTGCAGCTCCAGTGCTGGCTGAGGAAGTCTGCAAGGAGTGGGCGAGCAAGCAGAAGCCGGAGTCAGAGACACCCCCGGCGGCCGACGCTGCGGTATGTACAGCGCAGCACGGGGGGAGGTGGGGCGCGAGCGCGCGACCCGCAGCCCCGGGGCGGTCCGAGCGCCCCCTCCCCCGGTTACTTCGGGGCGGCCACGTGCGGGGGTGGGGTCGAGCCCGGGAGGTACTTACCCGGGCCGCGGTTTCGGGAGGAGGGGGGTGCCGGTGCGGGCGGGCGGAGCGCGCGCAGGCTGCAGGAGCCCCGCAGCCCCGGCTGCACCCGAGCCCCGCAGCCCCCTCCCTGCGCTCCGCCCGCGGGCCTGGCCAACGCTGGCTCCCAGCTCCGCTGCGGAAAACCCGAGCGGGGGCGGCTCCCTGCCTTGCGGCCGCGGGAAAATCCGGGGGTGGCCGCCAGGGATCTCCAAGCGGCCGACCGAGGCGGCCCCGCGCGTCCCTCCCCCGGAGCCCGGCCCGTCGGGTCACCGTCTGCCTCTCTGCTTGTCCCCGCAGAGCGCCCGGACGAGCGCGCGATGACGGCCGGGAGCCCCGGAGACGGCGGCGCGCGCAGGAGCCCCGAGGGCCGCGTCTCGCGCCTGGGCCGCCGCCTGGGCCGGCGCCGGAGACCGCGCTCGCCGCCAGAGCCGCTGCGGGTGCGGGCACGGCTGCGGCTGCGCTCGCCGTCGGGGGCGTTCGCGGCGCTGGGCGCGCTCGTGGTGCTGGTGGGCATGGGCATCGCCGTGGCGGGCTACTGGCCGGGCCGCGCCTCCCACGCCCCGAGGACCGGCCGCGCGCACGGGCCCCACGAACGCCTGCGGCTGCTGGGGCCGGTGATCATGGGCGTCGGCCTGTTCGTGTTCATCTGTGCCAACACGCTGCTCTATGAGAACCGGGACCTGGAGACGCGGCGGCTCCGCCGGGGCGTGCTGAGGGCGCAGGCGCTGCGGCCGCCCGACGGCTCCGGCTGGGATGCGCTGCTGCCCAGTCCGGCGCCTGGGTCCCCGGGCACCGTCGCGGAGCCTGAGACTTGGGATCTGGCCCCGAGGAGGGGTCCCTCGCCCGTCCCGTCGGTGCGCAGCCTTCGGTCCGAGCCTGCCAATCCTCGCTCTGGGTTGCCCGCGCTGCTCCACAGCTACCCGTTGAAGGGCCCGGGGCTGCCACCACCCTGGGGTCCTCGGACTCAGACTGGCCACGTGATCATCACGGTGCAGCCCTCTGGTTCCTGCATTGAGCACTCCAAGTCTCTGGACCTGGGCCTGGGGGAGTTGCTCCTGGGGACCCCAGCTGCTCGGGACTGTGCCCACCGAAGTTGGCCACGGCTGGACAGACTCAGTCTGGGGGGCTATGCCAAACTGGGTGGAGACTTGGGGGCCCGGGTCTGAGGTTCAAGGGATAACTTGCTGTGAGGCTACCAGCGTGGACCATGGGACCAGGACACCAGAAGTCTAGTGTCCACTAGCTGCTTCAGTCACCTCTGAGGCTAGGATGGATGCTGCGGTGACAGCAGCCGCTCAGCCTCCTGACCTGCATGTGTCTAGAGCAGTGCCAGCTGCACCGGCCAGCCTCAGGGGCATGTGTTAATGTGGACACCAGCATGATTCAGCCTCAGGAATTTCTTCAGCCCATGTGGCCTTAGCCCCGGGACAGGTACCTGAGGGGCTGCAGGCTAGGCCAGGAGCATCCAGAGATGCAAAGGCAACAGTGGTAGGTTGGGATGTCTCAGGCTGGGACAGGCTCCCTCCAAGGTGGCAGTGGTGATGGAGGTGGGACCTCCAGGGGGAAGGTGGGAGATGAAGTGGAACAGAGACCCCCTGCAGCTTTCTGGGGCCGTGACTGCTCCTCTAACTGCCACTTCAGGCCCATTCTTCCTCCAGCCACGTGGGCTATCCCAGCAGGGCTCACTACTGCCAGTGCCCTGCCCCTGGGGTCAGACAGCTCCCCACAGAGACAGGTCCGTCTCACTTTCATCTGACCCGTGCTGCAAAGTCTCCCCCAGTTGGCAGAAGGCACCCGCCAGTTCTCAGCAGTGCCTGGAGCTGCACTGTGGCCAGTGTGGGCAGCTTAGCACACATATAGTGGCTTCCCTTCCCAGGTTTTAATTTTTTCCATGCTTTTGTTAGAAATTTTAAAGTGGACCAGTCCTCACAGAAAAGTATTTTTTTTTGTCATGTTTATTGAAAAATGCCATACAAGAAGCAAGACCAAACACTTAGCTAAAACACTCAGCCACATCTGTCTCTATGAAAGGTGCAGGCGGCAGGCCTACTACTGCCTCTCTCACCTAGGGTTTTCCAGTTGGCTCTACCGCCAGCGTTCCTATTCTGTCAAATGTAAACAACTACTTGATATGATTCATAATTTTTAGAAAAATTTACAAAGCTCCTTCATTTTTTTTCATCAAAATAATAATAATAATTTGAGAGAGATTTGTAGAAACAACCAGCCTGGGGCTTGTATTTCCCATCAGCACTGGAGGTGCTGGCTAGGCCATAACTCCGCAGCCCGCTGGCCCCAGCTGCTCAGCATCCCCCAGAATATACTGCTGGCCTGGGGGAGGGTCCCTGGAGTTAGCTTCCTTGGGCCCTCAGCTTAGGAATATAGGGCTCGCCTTGTGGGTGGGTGGCAGAGATCTCATGTGGTCTGAAGGAAAGCTTACTTCTGGAGTAAAAATAAAACTGCAGTTGGGTTTGTTAACTGTGCTTGCCTGAGTCACTTTGGGGAAATTCCTGCCAAGTCCTTGACCCTGGAGATGGGGTTCCCCTCCCCCTCACTACTTCTACCTGGACAGAGTCTGTACTTCACACCAACTGCAGAAAGAAAAAAAAAAATCCAAACAATTACTATATCCCAAGATCTGTTGCCAGAGCCGGCAAAGGAGGGGGAGGAGTCCTGGAGGGATGTCAGAATTCTGGTCCAATTTCCAGACAAAGGCAGCAGAGAGGAGCAGAGGTCAGGTACCCAGGTCTGAGGTCCTGATGAGGATAGCCCAGAGCACAGTGCTCAGTGGGCAGGTGGCCCCTCTCTTCCTCCTCCTGGGTGTCAGAGCTGGAGACCATGCTAACTTCACTCCCAGCACAGCCTCCTCTGGCTCAGTCCCACCAGGCCCCGTACCACAGTCTGCAGGTTTGTATCTGGGAGCAGAACCCAAGGCTTTCCCTCCTGAGAGCAAGCTGCTAACAGTCTCGCAGGAGCTAAAAGAAAAATGCACACTCAAAACCCGTTCAAAGTCGCTGAGTCTGTGTAAAGAACTCTCGGCCAGGAGGCCGGGGACTGCTGTGGCTCCCTTCTTTACACTGGCTCACTGTCCTTCAACCAGTGCTGCCAGAGACCCGCTGTCAACCCTCATGAAGTTCATTCCTAGCCTAGAATTAGGAGTCTACGAAGCTTCCCAGGCAGATCTGTTTGTAGGAAGTAAGCTGGAGGATTACAGAGGCCCTGTTTGGAGAAAAGGGGGAAAAAAAAGGCCACAAATTCTCACCACCAATTGGGGACATCAGGCTCCCTTTTCAAAACCAATATTAAAAAAGAAAAAGGAAACCAAATCCAAAATCCACAATGAAATAAAGTCCAAAAAAATCCAACAGACATCTCAAGCATTGGGGGATGAGCAGAGTTGCTCACACCCACCCCACTCAGGGATGACCACCAGGAGGTAAGCAATACCCTTGCTCCTGGAGGGCACCCTCAGGCACAGAGCGTACCCTCTTCCCTGAGCCACAGCCCTTACCGTGGAGGAGGCGGCCCGGCTGAGGCTGGGAGCACTCTTCGTGGGGTCCAACCAAGGTAAGGGCGCCACTCCCCTGGGTGAAGCGCGCTCCTGAACAGCAAGACCTGATTTTTAAAACCTCATTAACTTTTCCTTCCCAAACTACAACTAAAAATGTTCCACCGGCACTTTTGGCTAAGAGTGCCTAATTTTTCCGTAAGTTCTGGTCTCCTGAGACGGGAGCTGGGGAACACTTGGCGAAGCTGTTGTTTCTGACGAGGGACAGGACAGCTGGGGAGGTGAAGGCCACACAGATGCACTCAAATGTTCACAGTATTAGTTCTACCTGAAGCAACTGATGTCTCTGACCTACAGCTCCCAACAGAAGTAGGGTGTGTGACACCAGGTGCTCAGATGAGGTCCCTGCCTCACCAAACACCCTGCAAAGGGACGTCTGTGACCAGGTCGTCTGCCCTGCCTGACATTCACTGGTGCATGAAGTTTTTGTGTCATCCAGGATAGGAAGCTGCAGAAGGAGCAGGAGGTCCCATGAGCTGGCTCTGGCCTCACGGCTGACAGGGTCTCTGGAGGGTTCTCAGGAAGTCTGTGGATCCTGTCAGGGTCTGAGTTGGAAATGAGTGAGGAGAGGCTGAAGGGTCACCAACCACCCCATAAAAAACCCAAAATGTCTTAAAAACAGTTCATAGACTGAAAAGCTGACAATTTCTGTATCACAATATAGAAAACAGCTGTGGTATCTGAAGAGTCTCGGTATAAATTCCAGTAGAAAATCAAGTTGGTTTTCTGTGGTGTGGAACAGTCTTCAAAGTCTGACTGTTGCAGGCTGGCTTCTTTACGATATGCTGGCTTCTCTTGGATGGGGAGGGGTGGGGACCGGGACAGGACAGTCCCTAGAGGGAAGAAAAGCACGAGTTTGAACCCCCACAAAGGAGCAAGCTTCCAGCACCACCACCATGTTCTCCTGGCCGTGACATGGTGAGCCGCACTGGCTATCCTACCCAGCATCCACTTTAGGTATTCATCTGGGTGGATTCGTGCATGTCACAACCCCCCCGTGCGTTTGTCCAGAAGTCAAGGCCCTGTTCTCAGCTCTGTTCTCTAGCCCTCCCTGGTTCTGGCCCACAGATCCTGGAGTTGCCAAGAGCCAATAACAGCGAGTGCAGGGGACTCCAGAGGTGGGTGACCGTTCAGACCCAAGTTTGAGGTATCTCCTCCTACCCAGTGATGCTGGCACACTAAGGCAGAAGGACACCTATGACCTAGCTGCTCTGGTTGGAGCCACATAGTTAACTGCAGCTTCTGCCTTTACTTTCTTGAGTTCCAGTGTGGACCTGTCTTGGGGTCAGGGGCCCCCCAAGTGTCCAGAGCTCCTGAGAGCTCTCTCTGGCTGAGATGGTGGCATCCCCCATCCCAGCAGGAACACCCTTACCTGAGCTCACTCCTCAGAGATCTCGGTCTCCTGGTGGACGACCACCTTGGTCACTGACATGTCTGGGTGCTGTTCCTTGGCCTCCTTGATGGCTTGTACAAGGACCTGTGAAAGACAGAGGCAAAGCTGGTCAGACAGAGAAACCTGGCGCATTTTATTTGTGATGATGGCAGTACCAGAGCAGCACACTGTACAGCCTGAGTGGACCAGCACCTTGCCCTGCCCTGCCCTGCCCTGCCCTGCCCTGCAAAGGAGGCTACTGGACTTGGAATAAAAAGGCAAGGAAGGGCAGATGTTTTCTTCAGAGAAACAGGCGATCTTAGGAGTGAAAAGATTTGTTCAGGTGGTGAACCTAGGGCACAAAACGTGTTCAATATGGGAACAGGGAGAGCCAGGCCAGGAAAGTGAGAGCACACAGGTTTCTCTGGCGAAAGTGGAAGGCAGGCAGGAAGACAGGCTGACCTGTGGCATCCTGTGCACTGGCTTAAGCACATTCATCTACTTAATCTTCACAGCCCAGTGAGTCAGGGCTTCTGAGAGGGAAACCGGGCTTTTGAATCTGATGCTCTCTTGTCAGAGTCCCTTAGGTTCCAGGGTGCCAGTCTGAGCCTCTGAGTTACTGTGACACCACTGTAGCCTGTTAGAGCCGGTTGCCTGATGGATCCTCAGGACAACCCCCAGCCAGTCACGGGGAGTAGACAACAACTTCTGGATCTGGATTTCCACAAAACCTGCTGTCTTTGCTGGCCCTTGCTCCTCTTCCCTGATCCAGCTGCTACATAGGTTTTCTCTGCGCCCAGCTCACGTCCTTTCCCTGGAGGCTCCGCCTCTCTCTATGAAAGCCTGGACTATGCTTTTTCTCAACAGAGTTCTTTCTAAAGTGCACCCTCCCAAGCAGGAGCAAACCACACCTCCTCCACCTTCCTAGAGTCTTCGAGGGTCCCAGGAGCTCTCCTCTGAGCCGTCTAGTATCACGACATTAACTCATGAGGATCTTCATTTTACAGGGTAAAGGCACAGCTCAAAGTGGCTGCAGGGTGTCCACAGCAGACGGGCGGAGTCAGGGTGCAGGCCTGTCCTACTCTCTACCTTCTACTCCACAGCTCTTGCTGTCAGAGATCACAGGCAATGCAGCGGGGCTTAAACCATAGGTGGAAGGCTGGCAGTAGGAAGGACCCACTGAGCTCAGCACCCAGGCACAGGCCCCTACCTGGGCTTCCGGCCTTGCTTCTGAGACCCTGAGCACAGGATCCACAGCAGTGTGTCCCAGCCCTGCAGCCCCTCTTCCTGTTCTTGGCACACCAACGGAGGCCAGCGCTGCTCTGGCAGGCCCACCCCCTCCACCAGGCTCTTCCACCCCCTCTCCTCGGAAGCTTCACTGTTCCAACAGCACCCAGCAGTGAATTAGGAACATTAATTCTGACCTTATTATTTGCTAATTGCTTGTAGCACACAATTAGCACCTAATTAACATAAAAACATAGAGTTTTAGCACCCAGAAGGGCCCGGGAATTATCTGGATCAACCCACTCTCTTTTAGAGAGGAAAGCATCAGATGGAAAGTGATCTACGCAAGGTCACACAGCAAGTTGGCAACAGATCCAGGACACCACATCTCCTGGTGTCTTACCCTCCTCCTGCTGTCTGTTGAGCTACTGTGGCACTCTGGGGCAGGGATAGCACCTCCTCTTTGTTTCTGTGTCACCACCACCCCTGAATAACAACTGGGGATCCATGGACTTGGAGCCCACATGCACCCACCATCTCCTCCTGTATACACACTTACTTTTTGTTGTTTGAAACAGGATCTCACTGTGTAGCTCAGGCTGGCCGTGGTAAACTTCCTGCCTCAGCCTCCTGAGTGCTAGGACTACAGATGTGGCCACCAGGCCCATGCACTGCTTGTCCACCCCACTAACAGCCTCGCCCCTTCAGGCTTCTATGTTTCCTCCCTAGAGCTAAGGCAGATGTTTGAAGACGCTGCTGTGCCCATCAGGGCCCCTCCTGCATTCCCACCTGATCGTGGTCAACATCAGCATCTCCTGTTATCACAATTCTCTTCTCGATCCGGGTCTCAGAAATTCCACCTTTGACAGTCTGCAACCAAAGGAAGGGGCCAAGAGAAAGCCATTACACAGCGGGAAAGAAAAGCAAGACAGCCCAGGTAGTTCTAAAAGCTCCCTTCAAAATGTTTGTTATGGTGAGGATGTGGCTCAGACTGAGCACTGTGATGCTGGCTCTCCAGGACAGCTTTTCACCACATCTCAGCACGGGTAGGACCTGCCAACAGGAGTGTCCTGCTCCCCTGCCCCATGAGACTCTAGTACACGCACAAAACCACGTAGTTCATTGTCCACTTTCTTTCCCTTCGTCCCAAACACTACAGAAGCCCAGAAGGAAGAGTGGCGCCCCTTTTTGTTCGTCTATATTTTCACCTGATTATTTTCAGCTTCAACTGGAACTGCCTATTTTAAAGCATTTCACATTATTAATGTCAAAAGAGCCTTCAGTAATCTCAAGTGAGGACAAACAGGGAAA